GTGGGGGCACATTTCTCACAGGAGGGCCACTCTCTCTCCAATCTCTCAGTCCTGATCCTCAAGGGAAATTTACACAACACATCCCAGAGACGAGCCTATGAGCTCCATTTCATCAGCCTGCTGGATACTAGAGATCAGGGACTAAACATAGACATTGGATTTTTGATACATTATAATCTGCCTGGCAACTGACTCCCCAGCCCAGCCCAGCCCCTGGCTTCTTTACTTTTCATTCCATCCAGGAAGAGCACACACCAACTGCTGCAGCTTCCTGAGCCTGACGAAGGGTTTTTGAACCCGAAAGCTTGCTTAATAACTATTCTCCAACCATTTGGGTTGGTCTAATAAAAGAGATCAAATTCACCCAAGGAACCTTGTCTGCCCATATGGTTCAGTGTGGTTTTATTTCCAAACTTCAGACCTAGTGCTTGCTGTGATCTAAGATTTGCTTTAGCCTAACTTAAGCAAAATGGTTCTTTCTCCTCTTTTTATGGATACAGTATCATTATATGCTAGTATATCTATTTCAGTATGGAAATGGGAAATAAACAATTTCAGCATGAGGCACCTTTATACCAGTATCGCTGCACTTGTAGTAGAGGTTATACCAGTATAATCATATTGGTTAATTTTTAAAAAATGCCTGTAATTGAAAGTTATATCAGTATAGAAAGTGTTGGTACCAAGTTAAAATTAAACCAGAGTTGTTTACTCTATTTTCCAACTTAATATTTTGCAAGCTGTGGGTATAATTAGAAGAAAGGGAAAACTTTGCAAAGAGTGAAGAGTCAGTTTGACATAACAGATCACTATTTTGTCATGGTTAATACTGGTCTCTAATGTGTGCCCTATCTTTATTATAGCCTAAAAGTTACATATACCTTCCTCTACCCAAGCCAATACTTAACTTTTTGTAACTTTTCTTTCAAGGTGTATTCAAGAAGCAGAAGGAGCAGACAAAGATGAATCTTCACGTGCATTAATTCAAGCAGTCAAAACTTGTTTCATAGGTAGAAGATTAATATTTGGACTGAAGGTAACCTGCATTTGATCCAGTTAAGCTACTCGGGTTTTACTAAACAGTTTTCAGTGTGTATAGTAGAAGTGGGATGTGATAAAGTATTAAAATATCCAGTAGAGGTGGCAGGAAGCTAGAACATAATACAGAGCCTCAAGCCCACATTCAGCAGCCCACCCCCATAATCCCCCTTTCTCAGTGGGGGTTTTTTTTTTCAGTGATTTCCCGTGTAATTTTGAGCAAAGTACTTACGTCAAAAATAGCCTCAATTTTTTGTGACCAACATAATGCTTCTCGAGTAACTATCAGAGGTGCTGAACAACAATTAGTTCCTTTTGAATGTCAGGTAGAACAGTGCGTACTCACCGCCCACGGAAGTGAGGCCCTTGGTGGTTTGGGCAGTATGTGCAAAAAGAAAAGGCTGTTTTTTTTAAAAAAAAAGACGTGGGGCCTTGAAACTGTGCAGCTCTGTTTCTGGACATGAAGAATGCAGCAGAATGAGGCTTACCCACTTCAGAAGTATTTTGACATTCCTGTAACTGCTACATTTCAACATACATGATGTATGCATTTGTGTTTAACAGATGGGCACATATAGGATTTCATTTAAGTAGAAATCTGTTCATTTTCAAATGCTGTTTATATAACCAACATCTGTGGACTAAACCTGACAAACCCCGAGTCATTTCCACTCCCTTACATATCTTGGGAATTCTGTCTGACATGGGGTATTTTTGATGCACTTATTACCATGGTACCTAAGCTTGGAAGTTGGAGGATTTCTCAAAATTGCTTTACGTGAGCATACCTCTTACAGTTCTGGCTCTGATGCTCTTCTGTATGTAAGTAGTCCTTTTGCCCATGGAACAGCCCTGGATGGGAATGATGCTACTCACATAAGTAAGGGTTATTCATGTTTAAAAACTATCAGATTGAGCTTTAGTATAGTCCTCTAAATATACTTATCATAGTTTCAGGGTCGGAAGGGACCTAATAGATCTTCTAGCCCGCCCCCCCGCCAGGGCGGGAGAACAACCCAAAAACACAAACAAAACCACTCACCCTAAAAACAAAAACGGGACTCAAATGAGTCCAGCCAGGTAAGTATCCAGCCTCTTCTTAAAGATCCCCAGGGTAGGGGCCAGCACCACCTCCCTTGGAAGTTGGTTCCAGCTCCTAGCCGCCCTGACTGTGAAGTAGTTTTTTCGGATGTCCAATCTGTACCTCCTCTCCATCAACTTGTGCCCATTATTCCTTGTTATGCCAGCAGGGGCTAGGGGAAACAGCGTCTCCCCCAAACCCTTCTGGTTCCCCCTAGTGAGTTTATAGACGGTCACCAGGTCCCCCCTCAGCCTTCTCTTGTGGAGGCTGAATAGGTTCAAGTCCCGCAGTCTCTCACTGTAGGGTCTGCCCTGTTGTCCCCGGATCATGCGGGTGGCCCTCCTCTGGACCCTCTCCATGTTGTCCACATCCCTCCTGAAATGGGGCGCACAGAACTGGACACAATACTCCAGCTGCGGCCTGACCAGCGTCGCATAGAGGGGGAGGATCACCTCCCTGGCTCTACTCGAGATGCACCTGTGGATGCACGACAAGGTCCGGTTAGCCCTGCCAACCATGACCTCGCATTGTCGGCCCATGTTCATCTTGGAGTCAATAATGACACCAAGATCCCTTTCCGCCTCCGTGCTCTCAAGTAGGGAGCTCCCCATCGTATAAGTGTGCTGCTGGTTCCTACTACCCAAGTGCAGCACCCTGCACTTGTCCGTATTGAAACGCATCCTGTTCCTGTCTGCCCACCCCTGTAACCTATCCAGATCCTTCTGCAATCTCTCTCTCCCTGCTAGCGTGCTCACCTCCCCCCAAATTTTGGTGTCATCAGCGAATTTAAACAGGTTGCTCTCCACCCCAACATCAAGATCGCTGATGAAGAAATTGAACAGCGCAGGCCCCAGGACCGAGCCCTGGGGGACTCCACTACCCACCTCCCCCCAAGGGCATATGATAGGAATAATTTAGGGGTTTTGTCTATTGTAACTGATACAGTGAGACTTGTAATATTGCTTTTTTGGTTTAAAAATTAAGATAGAAATTGGTCAAAATAATTGTTTCCTCTCCCTCCAAAATATCAACTTGTTGTCACTACCCCAATCTAAAATACATTTTGAGTAAAACAAAACACCTGTTTTTGGGCAGGGGGAAGATGGAGGTAATTTTATTGGTTTTTGTGTTTCCAATGCAGCGCAAAATATTGAAGAAAGCCCTTTCCAGGAAGTAGTCAAAATGTTTTACAAAGCATTTATATATTCTATTCCTCCTTTCCTTCATTGAATCTTCCTTAATTCTATGTATTTTATTGATACCCCAACTTCCCCTTTCTCTGTCACTTTTCTGAAATAACAAAGCTATCCATCTCATTTATAACTAAAATCTGGATATCATCTTCAGCTTAGCTCCCCCTATCTCATATCTCAACTCAGAATATGCCTAAATCTTGGCGATGATATGTATACAGCATTTCTAAGACTTAGATTTTCCTTCTCATCCACTAAGGTGAAGTGGGCCTGGATGTGAGATTTGCATTGCAGTTTGATTCCCTCATTTCTCTTCCTCCTCTTTATTCACAATCTGCATTTAAAATAATGCAAATAATGCATAATAAAATGTCCCTTTGACTCCATCTAAAATGCTGCTTCAGTAGTAATATTTCTTCCTCAAGTTGCTTGAATCACATCACACTTAAAACTTTTATGGATCCTTTAGAATCGTAGAGAAGTAGGAACCGAAGGAACCTCCATAGATCATCTAGTCCAGTGGCTACCAACCAGTGGATCTCGATCCACCGGTAGATCTCGGAGCCTCTTGAGATAGATCTTAGAGCCTCTTGGAGTTGATCTAAGGCTGGGGTGGGGGGGCTGAGTGCCTATGTTCATGCACTCATGTGCCCCAGCCCAGCAGGTCAGTCCATCAGGGTGGGAAGGGGCAGGGGCTAGATTGTGGCCCCTGTGTGAGGGATAGTGTAGCAGAAGCAGGAGCAGGGTAAGTTGAGTGAGGCCCTGGCTGGGTGGGACTTACCTGCTGGGGAGGTGCACCCAAATAAATTTTACTCCCTCTGCCTCAATCTGAGCCCCCCTCCTTCCCTTCCCACAGACTTACCTGCTGGGTGGAGGGAGGGGAGTGGTGGCAGCAGCACATGTTAGATCTTGGGTTGCTTTTAAATGCCAAAGGTAATCTCCTACTTAAAAAGGTTGGAGACCACTAATTTATTCAACCCCCTGCCTGAGGCAATATTATCCCAGTCCAAATCCATTGTCTAACCTATTAGCAAAATCTTCACAGTCAACCCTGAGACAATCGCAAGACTGCAACCTAACTAGCCACAGGTAAAGCAGAGGGAACACAGCAACCAACATCCTGCTGTTAGAAAAGGTTGTTAAAATATACTCAAGGGGAGTGTCCAGAGGAGTGGGGACATGCACTGTGCAGCACTGAGCACCTGTCTACAGCTCTGTGCATGACACACACCACAGATGCAGGCATTCCCCACACTACTACATCACTGTTCAGGGTGAGAGGGGTTTGACCCTGGGAGATCCAGGAACCAAAAAACCCATACCTAAAAAGCAGGCCAGTTCATGTGGCGGTAGTGCTCACCACCCAAAACCAGTTCCTGGCTAGCTAGAGCCATGCTCCAGCTTCTGGCAAGGCTCGCTGCTACAGGATCACCATGGCTGTAGCTTCCAGAAGCCCTCAGGACCCCAAGTAAGGCTTCTGCAGCCATCGCTGCTCCCCTACACCACCTAGGGCAACATGCTGCACACCAGAACAAGTGTGGCATAAGGCATTCCCCAGAAACAAGTAGCAGTAGCACACATTGTGCCACTGCTACTTGTCCCTGGGGAAACACGATCCCACTCATGGGGTCATGTCCAAGAGATCCAAGGAAGAGATCCATGCTCCCTGCCACAGAGAAAGGCAAAAAACTCCACAGTCCATAGCAATCTGGCCAAGGGGTAAAATTCCTTCCTGACTTCAAATATGGAAATTTGTCTGACCCTGACCAGGAATCTCCACATGTTAGTCTCAGCAGCCTTGGTACATCCCAATCAAAATTCCTAGCTCTGGCTGCAGCCAACATCCAATGTGTCTGAGGAAGGCAAAATAACAATAAAAAGCAAACAAAAAATGCCCAAACCAAACCAAAACAACCAAACAAACCAAACAAACCCAAAAACCCCAACAACAACAACAACAACAAACACCTAGCATATTTAGCAGCAGGAAGGGGGGAAAAGTCCTTCCTGGCCCCATGTGGCAACCAGCAAAGCCTAAGATCAAAGAAAAAACCCATACCAGAAAATAGATATAGCCCATATCATAGCTTACCAATTTTTGTCCAACTTCTTCTGGAATACCTCCTTCTAACAGAGAAGACTCCTTCATTCCCCACCCCAATATCCATTTTAAACCTTTGCTGCAACTCCAATCTATTGGTCCATGGTTTACTTTTTTCAGCAAGAAATATAATATGCTTTCCCTCATGTTTATAGCAGTCATTCAGGTATTTGTAGACTGCTATTATGTCCCTTCTGAAGTGACTTTTCCACAAGATGAACATGCCTATTTCCTTCAGCCTCTGCTTATACCACTTGCCTTCCAAACTCTTCATTGCTTTGTCATCTACCTCTGGGCTGGGCATCTTTGTGTTTCAATATTATGCACTTTTGAATGGTTATAGTTGTTAATTCTTCAAGAATTAGAGGGAGACAAGAGGTAAAAAGAAATATATTCAAAAAGGATGTGGAGAAGCTTGAGAGAGTCCAGAGAAGAGCCACGTGCATGATCAGAGGTCAGGAAAACAGACCTTACGACGACAGGCTGAGAGCTATGGGGCTCTATAGCCTGAAAAAGTGCAGGCTCAGGGGTGATCTGATGGCAACCTATAAATTTATCGGGGTGACCACCAGTATCTGGGGGGACGTTTGTTCACCAGAGCACCCCAAGGGATGACGAGGTCAACTACTGCAAGACCGTTTCAAGCTGGACATAAGGAAGAATTTCTTTACTGTCCGAGCCCCCAAGGTCTGGAACAGCCTGCCATCAGAGGTGGTTCAAGCGCCTACATTGAACACCTTCAAGAGAAAATTGGATGCTTATCTTGCTGGGATCCTATGACCCCAGCTGACTTCCTGCCTTTTGGGTGGGGGCTGGACTTGATGATCTTCCAAGGTTCCTTCCAGCCCTAATGTCTATGAAATCTATGAAAACTATGAAAATATGCTTGCCACCTTATTATTTTTCTGCTAATTTTCTATTTTTATGCTAAGTTTCAAAACTAATTCTCCATTTTTATTTAATTAAAAATATACCATGTTTGCCAAGTGGATTTCCCTAAGATTTCCCAGTTCTAATTCAAATATTATACGTCATCATATCTCCATCAAATTTCAAATATGTTTCAGTAATTTCAATTTATTATTATAGAATCTTAATCGCAGCATTAGAGTTATGGATGAGATATCTCTAAGTCCTTGTTTTCAGATTCAACTTACTAGAAAAAAGTTACCCTCAGAGCTGAAATTTTATAGTTGTACCTAATTTGGAAGTTCATTCACATTCTCAAGTTTTGGTAAAATTCCTGCCTGCCTGCCTGCCCGCGGCTCGGGAGCGCGGCTCCCTGCCGGGCGAGCTAAGGCGTCGCCAAAGGGCTTCCCCTCCGGATCCGCCTCAGCTGTGCTGCGCTCTCTACTTGAAAACCTCAAGGAAAAAAAAATAAAATATCTAGTGTTGGAGGCAAGACTCTAGACTCAACCTTTTGCCATTCATATAGTATGCTTCTTTCTAAACTCTTTATTCTCCCCCTCATGGTATTAAGCACAGAGAATCTGGGGTTTTAAGGCCTTTTAAAAGATACTTCGGGGAGTAACCACATACAGTGCCTATACAGAGGCTGCTCCGATGCACTGTAATTGGAGCACGTATGAGCAGAGTCTATTAATCAAGTCTACTGGAGCGTGGTAATTGCCATGCTTCAGCAGCCTCCTGTGTCTTCTGTATCAGCGTCCTCACACTTCAAAATGGTGGCGGGGGATTTTAACTAAAGCTACTCAAACAAGGTATAGTTCAAGCGCCCCCACTGCCATTTTCAAGTGTGGAGATGCTAATACATGGGACACTGCAGTGCTTTAATTAGAGCAGCTTTGAGAGCCACTCTAGTTAAAGCGCCACCTCCCCACTGCCAAAGCACATGTAAAAATGCTCTTAATGACTATCCTAGGGGTACACCAATAGAGATTTTTGGGCCAATAATTATAAGGAATTTTTAACAGGCCATATCAGCCAATACCAATCCGATTGCCAATATACAGCCTGGCAGTGTGGAGAGTGGCATCAGGCTGGTAAGTCTGTTGTGGGGAGAGGGGAAGGGGCTTGGGGGGGTGCAGATTAAGGCCCCCACGGTGAGGAAGGAAGTGGGGCTGCGGGTGAGCCAGGGGCACAGGCTGCCCAGTCGGGGTGTGACACAGGACAGAGCCAACTGTGGCTCATCCAGGGGAGCAGCTCCCACTGCTGCACACACCCTGAGGAGGCATGTGCTCCTGGATCTATCTGCACAGGAGGTGAGGGCAGGCTGCTGCTGCAGACAGGTTAGCGCAGTGCCAAGTTCTTCCTGGTGGGAGGGCTGAGCCAGGGCTGCACATGGAGTGGGCAGTGGCGGCACTGGGAGGGGCCTACGGGGCAGGGGGCTGCAGTCACCCCACAATTTGCTGTAGCTCCCCCAACCCTCTTCCCAGTGCTGCCACCGCCCGCCCTGAGCATAGCTTAGGCCTTCCCCCAGGAATAGCCTGGCCCCAGCCCACAGAGGCAACCCACCCTTACCTGATGCAGATTCAGGGGCGCACACACACACCCATGCCCTCCCAGGGTGTGTGCAGCAGCAGGAGCCACCCCCCCCTCTCCCTGCACCCCCTAGACGAGCTGCTTGTGGCTCCATCCCACACACTGCCCCAGTTGGGCCTCACCTGCCTGAGCCACAGCCCCACTCCCTCCCTCACCGCTGGGCCTCAATCTGCACCCCCAAATACCTTTCTTAAACACTTATTAGTAGCTCAATTCCAGGGGAAATATTTACTGTCCACTGAGCTCCTACTCGTATGTGCAGTGTTTCACTGGAGGAGAAAGTACTGTGAAGATGGATTATAGGTGTTGGTCTCCCTGGTGAGGTCCTTTCTCCACTGAATTCATACAGATTTTTTTTCTAGTCCCTCTAAAAAAAGCAGTTGCTGCTATAGAGTAAGGGCTTTTGGTTCAAACATTCTCTGTAGCCCTCAGAAGCACTTCTTGGTAGGGTATGGTCTCCTCTAACTAGCAGGGACTGCAAGGGAGAGAACTCTTTAAACTGTGGTTTAAAATGAATTCTGAGCTGAAATTTATTTGGGCCTTTCTAGCTCTCAAGCCCCATAAGATCTTGTTCTGATGTCTACACAAATCATCACGTTAAAGCCTAATTAATTCTTTTGTAGGGTTCTAAACACCAAGATGGAGGGCCCTTTGCTTCTGACAGCATCTTCCAAAACTGCTCCAGAATTAATAGTCAAACAAAAGATCTTACAGCTTGCCAGATCTTCCTGCCAAACACTGCTGTTGCTGGCTTTACAGTTATCAGCTACTTTCATCGGCTCTGGCAGTCTACAGACATCAGGCACAGTCACAGCAGCTCATACTCACCTGACAGTCCTTTAATTGCAATAGATCAGCCTATGAGGGAGTTCAGCAGTTCTTGCAGCTCCTGTTTTGTTCAGTCAGGCAGAGAGAGCTTTTCAGGGCCCTGGCAGCAATCTTTTGGACTGACTTCATCTTCTGTGGATTGGGTAACAACAGAAGATGTTTTAGCTTTGGAACTAGGAAAGGATCCTGGTAAGTGGAATAAACAAGGGGACAGACCTTTCTCAGCAGAACCATGCAGTATCATCCCCGGCAATGAAACTGTTCTAAGGGTGGAACTCTATAACTCTTCTAGTGGTGAGAGACATGAACAGAAAGATCATGAATTCAGTTCACCGCATCAACAGCCAGACACTGATAAATTGGAGAGCATTTCCTCTCTAAAGAGAGACTTGTCAACTCCCAGCAGTCACTCAAGGTTATTACACAACTCCTTGGAATTTGAGGTAAAACGCTATTGCCCAGAGATTGCTAGCAGATATGACAAATACCAAGAAAAATCTAGGAACTCTGTTTTTCATCAAAGACAAGATTATTCATTCTGCTGTTCATCTCTGTCACCTGATCCTTCAAGCACAGCCAGAGTGTCTGAAGATGACCCTATGATTTGGGATGAGCTGCCATTCTCTGAAAGTCTAAATGAATTCATAGCCAGAATTGAAAATAACAAGAGCGTGGAGCCCTCGATAGATTCTGCTACACACAAATATTCCCTCCTTGAGAATGATAAGGGAAATAAAAATCTTGCCAAATCCTCACAAGGCACTGGGGCTGCTGATTTCCATGCTGTATGTGCAGCTGGGGTGTCCTCACACCTACAGGAGAATATGAATACTTGCCAAGAGCCTATTCTGTCCTGTCATCGGTCAAACTTGAAACCAGTAAGTAGCAAAGCATTACAGCACAAGTCTTTATGCAGCCTTTTATCCACAAATATTAAAGAAGATAATGGGTCTTGTTTTATAGATAATCCACCTCTGCTGGTTCAGACCCAGTGCTCACCAGTAATATTAAAGCCTTATTCAGAGGGCAGTTTTCTCCATTCCAAGGAAGCAAGTATTACTATTTCAAAGTCTATCAGGTTCCCCACCAACTTAAAAAGTCCTGTTGAGCATGGAGAGAGCCCATATTTACAAAGAAGACAGAAACATGCCCATTTACATTCTATACATGGCTGTTTAGCCAATTGGGAAAACAAAGAAAATTCTGTTTACCCACCAAACCAAAGAACAGACCTTACAAGTTGTTGGGCAACAGGCTGTAGCTCTGCAGCCCTCTCTAGTACTAAAATTACAGGCAAGAGAGAATTAAAACCATTGACAGACTTGCAACAAAAGACCTGCAGAGCTGTAAATGAGAGAGACTTATGGAATGGCAGCTGCCCTGAAGGCAGCTACAATGCTTCTGCTGACCTCTTTGATGCTACTGGTGGGGACAAGGAAATCGCAATAGATTTTTTAAGTAAGTCTTATAACTCTTCAGCCAAAGATTATGTTTTGACTGAAAAGCGCACAGCATCTGAGTTAGTGCTTAGTCCATTCGATGATGGCTGCAGCTATTCACAATGCCAGTTGTTCTTGCATAGTTCCTCTCCTGCTTTTAGTAAACACAGTACACCTATAAGTTATTCATTGTGCAAATCGGAACTCGATATGGTAGGTACCCCAGACTTTGTTCCTTATTCACAGTCGACTCCTGTTGCAAGACCTCTTCAGAAATTAAGACCCTATAGGGAGAGAGACTCTATTTTCCCTAAACTGCCCTCTAAAAATCGCACTAAAATCAATTCCAGATGGAAACAATCTAGATCTTCCTTTAAAAATACTTTACTGAGACAGCTCACCAGCAGACTGCTGAAACATGAAAGGTCAAGTAGTAATCCAAGAGCCACAGACATCAATAAGCCTGATTCACGGCAGTTGTTTACCAACAGCGAGTTGCCTGAAAATGACTCTGACCCTGAAGAATGGATCCCTCCGTCAGCAACAAAATTGTTGCAGCCAGCTGTATTTTCTAATTTAAAAACAGTTGGATTGCAAGCCAGGAGACCGGCTATGTGCAAACACATGGCTGACGAACTTGTTTCTGAAAACAAAGGGAGCAGTGGAACTGATAGACGTTTAATAAGCAGGGCTGAGATTCTGAAGACTCCTACACTTACATGTGCCACTAAAGCCTTTCTCTTAGAAGATGCAGTCCCTGGAGCTTGTTTCTGCTCTGAAATCGAGAGCTGTCTCTCATGTGCAATTGATTCAAGAGGCATATTGGACATAGCAGGTAATTGGTCTCCTGAACTGTTTACAGAAAATTTCCAAGCACAAAAGCTTGTTTTTCCAAAACCCGTGTCCTGAAACAGATCTCTACTGTGCCATGTCCTTTATATTTTAACCCTTTGGAAGGATGATCTCCTTACCAAAAGAAGAAAAGCATTATTTTAAAAAGAAGTTTAATTATTCATATTGCTCTTGGCATCTATTGTCTAAAGATGAATTCTGTTTATATGCAAAGCCATGTACTGCATAGAGGTTGGGGCACACTGAACCATGCTTTCACTTTATTTAATTGTGGATTAAATGACTTGGCCCTAGAACATGAAATAAAAGTTTACCTACATGTGTGAGCATTGTAATTCGAGTTGCATAACCTACTTATGTGAAATTTTGCATCAACAGGAGCTTGCATCTTTCCCACAGAGAGCCTTAGGGCGCAGCCCCACATGCAGAAGTGTGTGCTTGCAGCAGCAAAAAAAGTAGTGGAACAAATTTGTGCCACTGCTTTTTGCCACTGTGCATATCCCTGCACATGGGCTTTCGTGTGGGGCGAAATGCCTCACTTTGAGGAACTGCTGTTTCCCTGCTCCTCCCAGTCCCTGGCATACTGGAGGAACCAGGGCAAAATTAGAATGGAGATGCTCTAGCTGGCAACCAGAGCATCTCGTGGGAGAACCGAGCCTCTTTGTCTGCCAGCACATGCTCCTGTAGCAAATTTTGTCCCCACCTGATAAAATGTGCTCTGCACTGCAGATTTAATGGGCCAGCTATGCAGTTTGTGGCACCACAAACTCCACGTGCCTGCGCATCTGGATCTGGTATTAGTGACACACTTCTCTTTGCCATATTTAATGGAGATAGACTTATGCTGCTTCTATTGAATTCTGTGAAATGCTGACTGCTAAAGCCAGAAGCAGGCCAAAAATGCGGTATGTCTTCTGGATGCATGTAGCAAATAGATCTCATTGTACACCACTGGCTACTAGTGCTAGAACTAGACATAAGACGATTTGGATTCAGTTTCATCTGTGCTGCTTAGCTTTGGATATCCTTATTGTCACAACCCAGTGATTTTTGTGCCTCGGCAGTATGGAATTTCCTGGCCACATGAGAGCTCCTTTGCATGGCAGAGTGTTCTGCTGCAATTGAGAACCCGCGTGTAGGAGAGAGTTCCTGCCAATTTGCAGTTTCCTTTGCAGGATGCATTTCTTCTTTGCAGCACAGAAATGCACGGTGCAAAGAGTTCCCGCTATTCAAATGTAAATTTGTACCCCGCTGTTGGCCAGTGCTAAATTATTCACACGTGGCGGCTAGTAATTGGCTCGCTGGCCGTTTAAAATTCCGCACAACTTCTGCCCAAGTCGAAGAGCTTCGGGCACGCTGCAGAGTGCCTCTGAAGTTATCTGACTTCCGGCTGCCGATCGATAGACTGATCACCTATCGATCTTTCTTCCCGTCACCGAGCGCAACCCCAACGTACCCCTTTCCCCTCCGGCTTCGAATGGCGGACGGATTAACTGGCTTGGGCCCCGCCAGCTGGAACAACTCGTGTGGTTGTTCCAAAGACCGGACCACCTGCGTCGTGATTGCAAGCGGCGTGAGTAAAGTTTTTTACAACCAATAAGTTGTGTCTGCCTCTCCATTCACCAGCCCGCCCTAACGTACGACCAATTTCTAACGTAACTCGAGTCGGCTCTGGCCATCCGAGACACTTATGATGCTTGTAATGCTCCTGACCAGAAACCAGCTCTAGTGAATATTGCAGCACCTAGCATTCAGCCTACATACTGCAAGCTAGAGCCCCGAGTTAAGTGCCTAGGATCCCGGTACAATGCATGGAGAGCTGGGCACCTCTGAATGGAATCCATAAAAATCTGCACGCAAGACAGGGAAACCTGCTTCAGCTAATCAGCAAGGAAATGCTCAAGATAAGGGTGTTTCTTAACCCCTGGGGCAGAAAGGGTGCTTTATTTACTTGGTGTTAGCAAGAGCTGCTTCCTTGACTCAAGGTTCACAGCCTAGAAGTCTCCTGAAGCTGGAGATGCCCATGGCCTCTCTCTAAAATACAGAGCAGGGGATCGCTCTTCTAAGAGCATGGCAGAAAAAGGTGCTATGCAGTAACTTCGTAGTGAAAGCACATGCTCAGACTGAACCAGGGGTTTCTACAGTTCACTCCTTTGCCAGGCTTGGGTTTCCCACATCCTGAGCAAGTACCGAGGCCCCTGAGTTATTGCATAAAAGGATAGTGGCTGATGTCATCTTCCTGGACTTTAGGAAGGCCTTCAACACAGTTTTGCACCCTATCCTTATTGGGAAGCTAGCAGACTGTGGAGTGGATGCCTACACAGTCAGATGGGTGGCCAACTGGCTTAGGGACTGCACCCAGAGAGTGGTGGTGGATAGTTCCTTCTCGGCCTGGAGGGAGGTGGGCAGTGGGGTCCCACAGGGTTCAGTCCTCAGACCGATATTATTTAATATCTTCATCAGCGATTTGGATGAGGGCGTGGAGGGTGCCCTCTCCAATTTCGCTGATGATACCAAGTTATGGGGCAAAGTTAGTACACTGGAGGGCAGGGAGCAGATTCAAGCCGACCTGGACAGGTTGGATCAATGGGCAGAGAGAAATAGGATGCAATTTAATAAAGATAAAAGTAAGGTACTCCACCGGGGAAGGAGGAATCCCCAGCACACCTATAGGTTGGGGAGTGTGCTTCTCAGCAGCTCGGAGGCAGAGAGGGATCTTGGAGTCATAATTGACTCCAAGATGAACATGA